AATAGAAAACCCTAAATACAAGACAAAATCAAAGCATGAAAATGATACATTTTCACACAAGCACCCTTAGGGTTTTCCCACTTGGTTACCTAAAACAAAAATGGTCACGTTACGCATGCGAAGTATCTTGGCAAAACAAACAAATATAAGATCATAGTCCCTCGATGACGCTATTCAAAAGTTACCTTACAAAATGATTTTGGTCCCTCAAAAATGCTAAGATACTTGGCAAACATTTCTAATCATGGTTATACGATGACTCACATCCGTCCCGTTTACATCCAAAGATAGGGTTGCTTACCAAATCAATGGTAAGACAACAATGTCAAAGGAATACAAAAGGCATAAGAAAGACATTTGAGTAGGTAGATGGCTTCTAGTTACTTGCTCCATTTCAAACAACAATCCTTGCTATTTTCAAAGCAAACACACACACATTTCAAAAACATCTTACAAACATTGAAAACATTTTCAAAAGACAAACGTCTTTATATACATTCTTACGAACGAGAATCATTACAAAGATTGCCTAAACGAATGGCCTCTTTTACAAAATACTTTCAAAACCACACCAAACACAATTTCAAACAAACAAAAGCAAGTAACTAAGAGCCCATGGAAAACCATGGATAAAAAGGGTGCTAATACCTTCCCTTTTCATAATCTACCCCCTGAAATCAAGAAACAATCTCAAAGGTCTTTCCTGTGCTTTTTCACCTTTCCTTTTGGATAAAAGAAAAGTCGGTGGCGACTCTTGCTAACTGCAACATTTGCGATAAAACCCAAAAACCTTCAATTCAGTTCTCCCACCGTATCACACTGTCCTTGAAAACAAAACTTTTGTACAAGTTTATGCTGGGCCCATGCTTTACTTTTGCCTCTGAGGCTACTTTTCTTTAATTCATGCTTACAAATCTAGCTTAGGCACGGCTAAAAGTTGTTAACCACCATACTTGGTTATCTTGCTTCAAGAACAAGCCAGCATGCTAGCATGATGTTGGCACTTTTGACTTCTCCAAGCTACAAAGTTCCTGCCTATAAATTAAACTTCATTGGCAACTATGAGGGGCGGTCAGAAAAATTAAAAGGAAAAGCTTTGAAACCTTTCTAAATATCCATAAATCCGAAACTGCAAACGCAAATACAAAACCTGCTAGTTTTTTATTCTTGCATTCAAACTCCAATTTCCCTCAAGTGTTCCTTGACCAAATCATCCATTCACCATTCTAACCCAAGCTAAAGATTTTTCCAGCCTACTGAGTACGTGAGGAAGCTGATCAGAACATTACAAGCAGTCAGAACCAGGCCCCAGCTCACAGAATATTATTTAGCAGCAAGGTAAGCTTATGCTAACTCTCATCATATCACTTAAGCATTATTAGACTTGCATGTTCAAAACACAATGTAGACATCTTGATTCTGATGTTGTACATTTTCTGAGGTTTCATGTACTTGCCTACCTAAGTAGGAAGAACATAGGTTCAGAACTTCTTAAGGAAACTAGGACTAGCAAATACATGCTTGTTTCTGATTTTATAGTCTTGTCATTTTTTATGCTTCTGAAACCATGATGGAAAAACTGTCATAATTGCTATGTTTGTGTTTTCTGTTCTGTTGAGATTTAACTAAGTTGCAGATGTTCTGATTAGCATGAAAAAAATTGGAGTTCATCATCATAGTTTACTTTGTGATACCTGTTTATGTTTTTGCTTCTAATATCGGATGTACAGCCACCCCAATGGTAGAAAGCGTGCGCATAAGACATTAGTGCTAAGGGTCCTGGGTTCTAGCCCCAGAAGTATTTTTTTAGGTTTATTTAATGACATTATCACCCATTTATCTGTCAAACAATATTCCTAAATCAGAACTTCTAAACAACCTTACCCAACAACATTATCACCTCACTCTCTCAAATAGCCAGAACTTCTGACTTGCCAGTGATATATGAACTTCTAGGTTCCCAGCTACACTACAATTTCTGAACCCCTTCAACAATCAGAACTTCTAGATTTTCCTTTATTCCCAGCAACCTCAGAACTTGGTGTACCCAGGCCCAGAACTTCTGACCTTCTACTTTCCTACTAACATTTTCTCTTTTGCAGCGTATCAGAGTCAGAACTTTGGTTCCTTCTTGTTTCAGCAACGTGTTGATTCTGACTCCCTTCTCTCTTATTTATCTTATTTTAGCTTTAATAACCAAAAACACCAAAAAAAACATTTTTTATATTTACATACTTTATTTTACCTCTTTTAAAACTAAAAGATCAAAAATATTTTCTTAAGCAAATTTGTTTCTTTTCTTAACAAAAACAAAACAAGTCCATTTCAATTCGTGTACATTATTTCAATATGGTTGTAATAGATAATTAGGACTTTAATTTATTGCAATCCCCATTTGTAAATTTGTACACCCCATCCCCTTAATGATGTAATAATGTAGGACTTTACTTTTCCGCATTTTTATTGCTTTCATATATTGCTAGTAATTAGGTGTGTATGGCAAGATAAAACCAACCAATAGCAAACCCTAATCAAGACTAAATACGTGTAAACTAATACATTTGCACACTTGCACCCTTATGGTAAACCCACTCTGTTGCCTTGTAAAATGGCCATATTACGCATGTGAGGTATCTTAGCAAAAACAAGCAAAATACAAGATCATAGTCCCTCGATGACGCTATCCATGTTGCCTTTCAAATGATTTTAGTCCCTAAAATAGAATGCAAAGATACCTTGCAACATTGCTAATCATGGTTATACAATGACCCGCACTCGTCCCGTTTACATCCAAAGATAGGGTTACTTACCAAATTAATGGTAAGATAACAATGTCAAAGGAAAAAGGAAATGAACATGAAAGACTTTTGAGTAGGTAGAATGCTCCTAGTTACTTGCTCAATTTTAAAACAAAACATCCTTGCTATTTTCAAAACAAACACCCACACTTTCAAAAAACATCTTACAAACTTGAAAACATTTTCAAAAGATCAACATCTTTGTATACATTCTTACGAACGAGAATCATTACAAAGTTTGCCTAAACAATGGCCTCTTTACAAAATACTTTCAAAAACTACACAAAGCATAATTTCAAACAAAAGAAAATGATCTAGCAAGTAACTAAGATCTCATGGAAAACCATGGATGAAAAGGGTGTTAATACCTTCCCTTTTCATAATCTACCCCTCGAACTCAAGAAACAATCTCAAAGGTCTTTCCTGTGCTTTTTCACCTTTCCTTTTGGATAAAAGAAAAGTCAGTGGCGACTCTTGCTAACCGCAACATTTGCGATAAAACGCAAAACACCCAAGTCATTTCTCCCACCGTATCACACTTACGTTGCTTCGATTTCTCTTTTCCAGGTTTCTTGCTGAATCTTGATTGCAATGCTTGTTCAGTTGTCTTCTCCCTTTCTGAGTTTCTTTGTTGCAGCCTCATTTCATGAGCCTCCAAAGAAGCTTGAAGTTCTTCCAACTTCATCTCAGATAGATTCTTGGTCTCTTCGATTATTACAAAAAAGTAATCAAAATCTGCAATTAAAGATCTTAATACCTTTTCTATCTTTTGCAGATCTGTTAATGCTTTACCACACGCCTTCATCTGGTTTGTTAGCATCACCACTCTTGAGAAATATGCTGAAATAGATTCATCCTCTTTCATCTGCAGCATCATATACTGCTTTCTCAGAGTCTGTAACATTACTTTCTTCAGTTTCTGATCTCCACCATACAAAGACTTCAGCTTTTCCCAAGCTTCTTTTGCGGTTTCTTCTTCGATTATCTTCTCAAACACATCACAATCCACACACTGGTGAATCAAGAACAGCGCATTGCCATCTTTCTTCCTCTGATCTTTGTGCGTAGCTTTCTGGGCTTCCATAGCATCTTCCTCCAATTGTGACATTCCATCATTCACGATTTCTACATCTTAAAATCTGAAAATAACCTTCATTTGTGCCACCCATTTTTGTTAGTTTTCAGCTTTGAAAACTGGAAGATTTGTTGGAAATTGTGTTGAGGTTGTTGATCCGTTTGCCTTTAGATTCTCTCTGAATCGCAAACAAGCTCTTGATACTAATTTGTTGGAACAAAGAATTCAAGAAAGATGAATATAGTGAAAAACAAGAAGAAGAAGAAGAAGAAGAAGAAGAAGAGAGAGAGAGAGAGAGAGAGAGAGAGAGAGAGAGAGAGAGAGAGAGAGAGAGAGAGAGAGAGAGAGAGAGAGAGAGAGAGAGAGAGAGAGAGAGAGAGAGATTGTTGAGTTAGTTAGTGTAACTAACTCTTTAAAACTGAAATTTTTATTTTGTTGCTGCAGTATATGTGGATTACAAAGTAATGACCCTTTATATAGGCAACATGCCCAGGCCCAAATACAAGCTAAAGCCCAAATAGCAACTAACAAGAATTAACCAACTAACAGATCATACTCAACATGAAATCCAAACTCATCTCTCAAATCTCAAACCTCACGATGTCTTCTATGATTTCACACACTGGATTCCATCCTTAACTAAAACTTTAGGCATCAAAGCTATTCATTATTCTATCATTAGTTCAGTGACGGTTGCTTACTAATCAACACCAGCTACATATTCTAAAGGAGACAGCTTAACTGAATTTAATCTCATGGATCCTTCTTCTGGTTTCCCAGATTCATCAATAAAGCTTTATAATCATGAAGCAAAAGATTTTGCTGCTTTCAGAAAATAAACTTTTGGTAGAAATATTCTTTTCTATGATTGACAAGCCATTACTCAGAAAGAAGCCGATGCATTTGGATATAGATCATGCACAGAAATTGAAGGACCTTTTCTTAATTACACACAAAAACAATTTAATAAACCGATTCTTATTTCAGGACCAGTTATACCAGAAAACCCGATTTCTATTTTGGATGAAAATTAGTCTAATTGGCTTGGTGGACTCAAAATGGATTCAGTTGTGTATTGTTGTTTTGGAAGTTAATGTGTTTTAAGGCCAAACCTGTTTCAAGAATTAATGCTTGGTCTTGAGTTAACTAATTTGCCATTTTTTGTAGCTTTGAAACCTCCTTTAGGTTTTGCAACACTTGAAGAAGCTTTACCAGAAGGGTTTCTAAAAAGAGTTGAAGGAAGAGGTGTTGTTTATGGTGGTTGGGTTCAACAATAATTGATTTTAGAACACCCTTCTATGGGATGTTTCATTACACATTGTGGTTCAGGTTCTTTATCTGAGGCATTGGTGAATAAATGTCAATTGGTCTTGTTGCCAAATATTGGTGACCAGATATTCAATGCTAGAATGATGTCTAATAATTTGAAAGTTGGAGTGGAAGTTGAGAAAGGTGAAGATGGATTGTATACTAAGGATGATGTTTGTAAAGCTGTGAGTATTCTGATGGATGATGAGAATGAAATTAGTAATAAAGTTAAGGCTAGTCATGCTAAGATTAGAGATATGTTGCTTAATAAAGATCTTGAGTCATCTTATATTGATAACTTCTGCAAGAAGCTTCAAGAGATTGTTGAGGGAAAGAATTGAGTCAATTTCAAATTTCAGTGTGTTTTAGATTTTGTGTTTGTCTATGAGGGAAATAATTTGTCTTGTTCTTTTTTATGTAAGTTGTTTGTAGGATACTCCGTACACCATGCTTGTATAACCATTGGGAAATAAATGTGCAATTTTCTTCTACTATATTGGGCTATAAATAATAGAAAAATATTAGGAGTGTTGATATGATTAATGACAGTCGTATTACGTTATTTTTACAAATGAATTCATATGAAATTGGAGAAATAATGCACAAAAGTCATATCAAAGTGTGAAAAAAGGAGTAAAAACTAAGAAGTTGAACAAACAAAGCAAAATCGATATATATATATATATATATATATATATATATATATATATATATATATATATATATATATATATATATATATATATATATATATATATATATATATATATATATATATATATATATATATATATATATATATATATATATATATATATTATTTTAGTATTTAATCTTATCGATAAGAGAACCAATTTGTTATGGATGGAGTAGAGTTAAAGTTGTACTGTAACAACAAAGCTTGGATAACTCTACTACTTCATTCCATTTCATGCTTTCCTTGATTACATCATACAATAGTACATATAGTTGTTAGAAATCCACCAAATATCTATGATGAATTTCTAATTCAATGACAATGAATTATGAGAAAAAATAAGAAAAGAGAGAAGACAATTATTTACTATAGAATTTCTCTCTGCCCACAAATTGTAGAAAGCTTTGTTATTCACTTTGTAACTGCATAGTACTGTGAATGAATTAATTGACTTGATTACAAAATAGGGGTTACCCCCTCTATTTATAGATTTAGCTTGCACCCTAAGCCCAAAACTATAAAAGCCCAATATCCTATTTTGGTACTAAATCAAATCTATTCTGTTTTAGATCTAAATCAAATCTTATTTAAATATAAAACAAATCTAATCTCTTTCGACACAATTGAATTACAATTTAACACACCACTTAATTCATTGTGTCTAAACTATCTATATTCATCACAGTTCTTAATTTTCTGAATACTTCGACTTGTACTCCCTTTGTCATGATGTCTGCAATCTGATTCTCAGTTCCGCGGTGTTCCAAATTCATCTTCCCATCTGCTACCTGCTCTCGAAGAGAAATGAACCTAATTTCGATGTGCTTAATTCGAATATGTGCTATTAGGTTCTTCGCCAGATTAATAGCTGACGTGCTGTCAGTTTTCATGGTAATTGATCCATGACCTTTTCATGTTATCTCTTCGACCAAGTTCACCATCCAAGTTGCTTGACATGCACAAAGAGAAGAAACTATGTATTCTACTTCGCATGATGATAATGCCACTACTGGTTCATTTCTTGAAATCCAAGCAACTAGTGCACCACCTAGCATAAACACATATCCTAATGTTGATTTTCGATCTTCAACATCACTACACCAACTCGAATCAGCGTATCCCACTAACTTGCATTCTTTTCCTTTATCATCTGCAAGAAACAAAATCCATAGTTAAGAGTTCCTTTGAGATACCTCAGTATCCTCTTCACTGCTGCTAGATGTGATACCTTTGGCTTTTGCATGAATCTACTTATCATACCTACACTATATGCTAAGTCAGGCCTTGTATGACAAAGGTATCTCAATGATCCAATAGGCCTTCTGTATTGGGTTTGATCAACATCATCTTCATCTGCATCTTTCGACAGTTGCAATATTGGTTCTGCAGGTGTAGAAGTTGAGTTTCATTCTTCCATCTCAAACCTCTTGAGAATTTCTCCTGCATTTCTTCTTTGATGCATCATCAAACCCCTACTGCTCTTTTAGAATTCAATGCCAAAAATATGAAATCTCACCCAAATCAGACATTTCGAATTCCTTGCTAAGATCACCTTTGAAGTCTTCGATCTCACTTTTGCAGCTACCTGTTATCAACAAATCATCTACATAGAGACATAGTATAAGCAATTCACTATTGCTTCTTCTTACATATACTCCATGTTCAGTTGTGCACTTTACAAATTCCTTCTCCCTTAGGAAACTATCAATTTTCTTATTCGAAACTCTTGGAGCTTGTTTCAATCCATGCAGAGCTTTATGCAGCCTGTACACCTTTCTTTCTTCGTCATGTTTCACAAACCCAACTGGTTGTTTAACATAGACTTCTTCATCTAAGGTCCATTTAGGAATGCACACTTCACGTCCATCTGACATATGTGCGAACTGTTTATTTCTGCTAGACCAACAACCAACCTGATTGTTTCGATCCTAGCAACAGGTGCAAAAACTTCATCGAAGTCTATTCCTTCTTTCTGTAGAAATTCTTTCGCTACAAGCCTTGCTTTGTGTCGAGTTACTTCACCTTTAGAATTCGCTTTCACTTTGTATACCCACTTGACATCAATTGCCTTCTTGCCTTAAGGCAATTCGACAAGTGACCAAGTGTTGCTATCTTCGATAGACTTCACTTCTTTGTTCATTGCTTTCACCCACTTCAAATCCTTCAATGCTTCAGCTGCATTAACAGGTTCGCATCTGCATAGAAAGCATAATGTACCAACTCACCTTCATCATCTATCACATCATCTGATGTAATCACACAATCTTGCAGGCATGTGTCTTGTTTTATGAGGCCTGCTTGTACTTGGTATATCTGTTGGTTCCTCTTGTTGAACTTCTCTTCCGATTTGAGTTTCTGGCTCTTCGAATAGGATTCCCACTGAATCTTTCTTAACATTTTCAGTCCAATCCCATTCTTTAAACTCATCTATGATCACGTCCCTACTGATTACAATCTAATTTTTCACTTGATCGAACAACTTGTAGCCTCCTACCAAATGATATCCAACTAGAATCATTTGACTTGACTTGTCATCAAGTTTTCTTCTCGACTGATCTGGAACATGTCTATGTGCAATAGATCCAAATACCTTTAGATAACTCAAGCTAGGCTTTACACCAGACCAATATTCTTCTGGAGTAATTCCTTCTAGCTTCTTTGTAGGACATTTGTTCAAAATGTATGTTGCATTCGAAACAACTTCACCCCAAAACTCTTTAGATAAATTCTTGCCTTTCAACGTACTTCGTACCATATTCATGATGGTTCGATTCTTCATTTCTGTAATTCCATTTTTTTTTTGTGGAGTATAGGGTGGCACCACCTCATGTACAATCCCTTCTTTTCACATAACTTGTTGAAGTCTTTCGACACATATTCTCCACCATCATCAGTTCTCAAAACTTTGAGTTTTGGACCACTTTGTCTTTCGACCATAGACTTAAACTTGGCAAATACTTAGATCACTTCACTTTTCTTCTTGATCAGGTAAGTCCACAGCTTTCGACTGAAGTCATTATGAATGTAACAAATTATTTTTTACCTCCCATCGAATCCACCTAGATTGGTCCACATACAACAGAGTATATGACTTCAAGAGTAGCCTTCGACCTGCTTCCTGCATCCTTGCTGAAGCTATTCTTGTGTTGCTTCGTCTGCACACATTCCTCACATACCTCATTTGGAATGTCGATTTCTGGTAATCCTGAAACCATGTTTCTTCTCTTCAAATCTTTGATGTCTCTGAAGTTGAGATGGCTTAGTCGATAATGCCATATCCATTCATCTCTGCTAGCTGCAGTCAAAAGGCACTTGTGCTCCATCACATTTAATTTGATCTTGAAGGTTCGATCCTGAGACATAGGAGCCTTCAAGATTAATCTTCCATTTGCATCTACGACTCTCATCATCTTATCTTTGATTGACACTTTATAATTCTTTCCGATCAACTGCCCTAAACTGAGCAAATTGCTCTTCATGCTTGGTATGTATAACACATTGGAAATTACTGACCTCTTACCATCTTTCCTCATAATCATAATATCACCAATACCTTCAGCTGCTAGGGTGTTGTCATTTGCAAATTTTACCATATTTTTCATTGAGGGATTTATATTGACAAACCAACCTTTCTTTCTAGACATATGTGATGAGCATCCTGAATCCAAATACCATTGGTCCTTGAATCTATCTTCATCTCTTGTTGTGACCATCAACATCATCTCTTCTTCTTCATTTTTTGCAAGCTTTGTATCACTCTCTTGATTCTTTCGCTTTTCTGAACAATCATCGAATAGTGACCATACTTCTGAAAGTTGTAACATTAAATGTAACTCTTATCAGGTTTTCGACCACCACCTCTTCCTCTATTTGCAACACCACCACTTTGGTTGCCTTGGTGTGGTCTTCTTTGATTCTGAGAGTTTTCTTCGTTCTGGTTTCCTCTATAATTTGATTTGTTGTAGCCGCCTCTACCTCTACCGAAACATTTTCCTTTGTCTTTGGTTTATTTTAATGAATGTGCCTGCAATGCCACATCACTCTTCAATTTGCCTGCAGCTCTTTCATTCTTTGTTCATGAGATTCAAGCATCCCTTGAAGCTTTTCCTTTGTCAATTTTGATAAGTCTTTCCCTTCTTCTATCGCCACCACTATGTGGTCGAACTTAGGAGCTAAAGATCTCAAGATCTTCGAAACAACATCTCTTGTTGTTAATATTTTTCCACTTACCTTGATTTGATTCACTAGTTTTGTAACTCTAGTGAAGAAATCAGATATTCTCTCACTATCTTCCATTTGAAGCAATTCATACGTTCTCTTGTGAGTTTGTAACCTCACTTCTTTCACCTTTTCTACACCACCAAAAGACTTTTCAAGAACATTCTAGGCTTCTTTTGCAGATTCTGAATCACTCACTTTTTCAAAAAAATTTGGACTCACACATTGATGAATTATAAAGAGTGCTTTATAACTCAGCTTCTCAATTTATGTGTCTTTCTTCTTTTCTTCTTCTGAAGCGTTTTCACCAAGCGCTTCGAATCCATCTTTTACAAGATCCCAAAGACCTTGACACCTGAATAAAACTTTCATCTATTTGCACCAATTCTCATAGTTGTCTACTTTCAGAATTGGTAGAGTTGCTGG